AAAAAAAAAAAAAAAAAAAAAAAAAAGGTGAGAAGAAAAGAATAACAAAAGAAGGCTTTTCGCGAATATTCTTGCAATGCTTTAATCTATGTGCTGCGCTATTTAAAAGTATAATGGTAATATTCATGTAGTATAAGACTACAACAAAATAATATTGTAATGCAAAAGTTACGATAGAAAATCATTTAACATATTCGGCGAAGATAGCTGCTCATATTGCGATTATCATACTCAACCGTAGCAACTATGTTTAGCTGCAAATGCAGAAGAAAAGACGGTTAAAAGCAGCAGGAAGAAAAAGCCAGTACGAATAAGTTGTGGGATAAGCTATGAGCAAAATAGACGATATATAAATAAATAAGTGATAATATTTGAGAATAAAACTACAAAGAACAAGAAAATTTTATGATCTGAAATAATAGAGCTAAAGAGTTCACGACATTATAGCACTAAAGGTATTTTATGCGAAGTATTGTTTTCGAAGTGTGAGAAGAAAAAAAAACACAAAAGAACGAGGTCATCACCATCACCATCACCACATTGGTCGTCGTTGTCGTTTCCTTCATCGTCATCCATTACATGAAGAATACATAACGGAAAGTGAAAGTGCTTAATCGAGCTGAAGTATCTTTGGATAATAGACGTGTACTCTTAACAAAACAACGACAGCCAAATTTTCAGCTGAAAAAAAAAAAAAAACGTACAGCAAATAAATTTTTTTGTATTCGGAATCCCTGTTGCCTTTTCTTTTACCTTTTTATTTTTGTTTTTTGTTTTCTGTTATTTTTTTGTTTCGGCTTTTTTCTTTGCCACTTCTGAAAATACAACCAATTGGTATCAGATTTCGGCGAAAAAAGCCAAACAGACAAACAAATAAATAAATAAAAACAGAACAATAAAAATCGTCTTAAAGATTACGTTTTTGTTACTGCTTTTAAATGTTTCCGGAAAAGATACTGTAGTAAGTCCAACAAATTTTTTTCTTTTATCGACTGCGGGTCTGCTTCTTTTCTTTTCAATTCACTTGTAAATTTGAAAATAACCTTTTAATAGTGGAAAAATCCCTTTTCTTGTTTCCTTCCACTGTTAATAAATTAATAACAATTTTTTCGTTTTGTTTGTAGCTGTTGAAGCGAAGCAGAAAAGGTATTATTTAAGCTGCAGATATCAGGTCAAAGTTAAGATCAATTAATTCATTAAAGATCAATAGTAGACTTTTTTGTTCCTCTATATCTCCGCTAATTTAATTTTACTAAGCTTTAATGTAGATCTTTTGCAATAACACAGTACATCTCATAACTTTTATTTGCTCCAGTATTTATAGCCCAAAGAACAGGCGTACAGGACGGATGAAATGGCGACTTTTGACGCCGACAGCAACGATGAGGTCGCAGTAGAACAGAAGGTGTGAGAGATGTATGGGTTGCAATTAGAAATCGTGTTTAAAGGCACGAAGATAGGTAATTTTTTTATTTGGCAAAAAATTTTTTCTTTCAACCAGACAACACACCTCTCCCATCACCCAGCAGCTCTGCTCACCCTCCTCCCTTATTGTTCGAACTGTCTCGTTTTATCGTGCACAATCCCCTTTTTCCCACCATTGTAATCATCCATACCCGTCCCCTGTCCCCTTCCCTGACCAAAAACTAAAAAAGTGTTACGACGTGCAATAATTTTTTTTCCTTTAGTTGAAATTCAATAAATCTTTATTGCTTACTTGAAACAGAAAATAATTATGCATTTTTAAGACAAAAACTTTTATCCAATTTGGATTTTATTAGATCGCTTAAATTTTTTCAAGAAACCTTGAATGTTAGTTTGTTTGTTGCTTTGCGGTGGCCTGGTAGACCATTCGGTTGTAGGCAACAGACATTGTTTACATAAGACAATCCAGTGACAATTCTTATAGTCGCTGAAACTGGAGGCTTACAAAAGTTTTTGGTCGCCGCAAAACACTCACGAAATTGGAATCCAAAATGGAGTGAAAGACCAGTTGGTGCTTGTAGTTGTTCTTTTGTTGCAACTCATTGAAACCTATCTGGAACTTTAATTTGCTCTGTTAATAAAGACGGCAAATAACACGAGTGTACTGGAAATATATTTATAGAATTTTTTTGACAACGTATTAATTCATATATTTGGCTAGTTAAAATATTCAAC